CAATTGATGTTGATGTCCCCTGTAACTATGGTCCTAATCCTCTAGATCGACAATTCATTCCCTTAAATTGTTTCATTATAGCTAAGAAGTTTACATACCTTTGTCCTCTGTTTGCTCAGTTATATCCCTGGATGTATTTATAGCAAATACAATTACATATATGGAAATATTGACTGTCATACCTATATATGGTCATGATTATAATCCCTTTTTCCTACTCATACTTGCTCATTTTACCTGTTGGTTTATGCAAGCATTTATAGATTAATGTTTGTTATTACTTGTAATGCAGGATTGTGGTTGTAATAGCATTTACCTTTGTTGTCTGTAACTCTTTTGAACCTCTCTGTATTTTCTGTTCCTTTAGTGATATTGTGCCGGTCATCACTTTACAGTATATTTATTGTCTTTTACTTCCCCAAATTGATGCATATCTATTATCTAGTTTGTGATTGTTTTCCTCCCCTCCTCTCCTATATCTGGTAATCATCAATAAAACTGTTTTGTTTTTTCCTATATGTAAGCCTTTCATTGATGTTTTATAATGGTGGAGTCATCACAAATAATACTTGGCCTTTTATGATTGATTGATTTAATTCAGCACAATGTCTTCCAGTTTTATCCACGTTATTAGGTGATTCTTGCATTTTTCATTATTCTTTAACATTACATAACATCCCACTGTGCACATGTACAATAGTTTATTTATTCATCCATTCATTGATGGACACTTAGTCTGTTTCCATCTTTTTGTTATTGTAAATACTTCTGCAGTGAACATGGGTATGCATATATCTGTTAATGTCCCCATTCTTATTTCTTTAGCATATATACCTAGTAGTGGTATTGCTGGATCAAAGAGTATTGCTGTAAATCCTCACAGCAAGAAACATTCACCCCCACCCCCCCACACACAGAGTGAATGGAGAAGGGCAGCTTGGACATTGGATATGCAAATGGGGAGGGGGGGGACTACAAAGTCAAGAAGTGACTGGCTTACAAGCTTTCAAGAGGGAACCTGGTGCTAGGGAGCATGGCGGAAGGCAGAAGCTCCAGTAGGTACTATTCAATCTGTCTGGGCGGAGTGGATAAAAGGAGATACAGATGGGTAACTC